GTGCCAAGGAAACATCTATACATGCTCTTGCTCCACACCCTTCACTTCCTCACCCTTGCGTCCCGCCCTGACACAAAGTGGCGGGACCTCCTGCCACCTTTTGAAGGTGAGGCACCCCGGTGGGCCAGCCTATACTCTACCCTGGTCCCGAGACCTGCCGGGGATATCAGTAGGCGGCTCCTTCATGGGGCCGTGAGCATGGGCATGTATTTGGCGCAGTTTACCTGTCCCGGACACCTGCCCCTTTTGTGGCATGAGGGAGACCCTGGTGCACATTTACCTGGCGTGCACCAGGTTGCAGCCCCTATTCCGGCTCCTCTTAGATATCCTGTTATATTTTTGGTTGCAGTTTTCCCCTCACCTTCTTATGCACTCCCTATCCATGGCCCACGAAGTCATGGGACCACCTAGTCAACCTCCTCCTGGCCCTGGCTAAAATGGCCATCTATAAAACTAGGGAGAGGAGGTTGGCTGATCGGGTCTCCTGTGACTGTGGGGCCTATTTCCAATCCTCTGTCCATTCACGCATCCGGGCAGAGTTCCTCTGGGCGGCGCCCACTGGCTCCCTTGACTCCTTCGAGGAGCAGTGGACGCTGTCCAGGGTTCTCTGCTCGGTGTCCCAGTCAGGTTCCCTTCGTTTGACCCTTTGACCACACTCCTGTTCCTGTTATTTCATTAGTTGTCCCCCCGAATGACTTAGCTTCCAGGTCCTGTGGGTTCTCCCCTTAGGCTAGGGGGAGGTCCTTTAGCACTTCCTGGATCCCAATAGGAAGCTCTGTCAGTGGGAGACAGGGCCACAAGCATTATTAGGAAACAGCGTTCATTTTCTATTTATGCTACTATGAGGAAGGCAGTTAGCTATAAAGTTAGGACAGATCAAAGACTGCCAAATAAAGGTGAACATACCATACCATTTCTCCTTGTTCCATGATAATCGCTACACTTTGCGTTAAAAATTACTGTTTTAAAAAAGGTTTCAGAGTAGCAGCCGTGTTAGTCTGTATCCGCAAAAAAGAAGAACAGGAGGACTTGTGGCACCTTAGAGACTAACAAATTTATTAGAGCATAAGCTTTCGTGGACTACAGCCCACTTCTTCGGATGCATATAGCATGGAACATATCTTGAGGAGATACATATACTCAGACA